TGAAAAGATTTTGCACCTTTTTGAAAAGGTTTCTTTCCGTAAGTGCTCCAGAAAACATTTGAAAAGACAGAGCTGCATAGTGAATTGCGTTACAGATTACTCAACAACTAAATTTGAGGGAGGAGCTATTCCACAGATCTCACCGAATGGGACAAGAATGCCAGAAATATGAGCTTTTCGTGAAAAGGACTGCTTTGTTTTCACAAAGAAAACTGATAATGTGCGCACTCACTTACTTAGAAACGATCCAAGAGAATGAAATCGCGACTTTTTGTCATGTTACTAATCATTGACGATTTTGCCCTTTCTTCACTCATTTTTCATTCTTTTGGACAAATCGAAATCCATGTAAAAATGAGATTTCACATGAGCAGGAAAAGTTGTAAGTTATTGAAACAAGCACATAAATTTTCAAAAAAAGTAATGACGAAAAAGATATTAGTCGATCATAAACCAAATTTTTTAATATTCTTGGAAAAGTCATGATATTGTGTCCAATCATAGAGTAAAGCGCATGATAGATAACATGTTTGGACTTGTCAAGTATACGACACACATTCCTTCCACTGCCATCACCGCGTGGGCGGCGCATACTCCATCCCATGTACGACAACGCGGCGCACAACCCGGCCCTCCCCATCCGCATCCCAAGGAACCGGATAGAAGGTGGAAGCGACACCGAGCAAGCATGGAGGACCCGCAGACGCGGGGAAGCCATATGTGGGTGCCACATCATCGCCACCAACATCGAAGGAGGGTGCGCATGGACTCCACCACACCTCCCCTCACTTACGAAGAATACCCCCAGCAGGCCCAGGAACCGCCAGCGAGATAGAAAGTAGCATGGATCACGAGTGGGTTTCCAGAACAACAACTAGCGACCAACCAGCGAAACCCTTCCACCTACAGTTGTTAACAGCCCACGAGTCATCCCACACGACCCCTTTTCCTGAAAATTCCTGAAGACATCAGCATGCAAGAAATCAGATGCACACACTGTAGCGGCAGCAGAGCGGGAACAATACGAGTTGAAATTATTCCAATGAATGGACGACACATGAAGATGTTCCGCCGAAGCATCCAAGGAGACATATTTATCTACAGCAAGGTGATTTTCTAGGAAGTCCTCATTTCTTCATAGTTATTCAGGGGGAATGGAACATTAAAAGGTGACTACGAAGATGCTCATAAAGCAACGTTTGCTACTGACTGAAAGCGATTTTTTCGCTGGATTGCCAAGAAAGTCGGTTGGGCCATTGCTAGATCGGCACTACGTGCAAGTTTTAGCGGTTACAGATCCACTGAAAGTTAGCTGCCTTATGACTGAATTTCTTCTTATGACGACAAAATCGTAGGTAAATTGCAGCAATTCTTGCTTGAGGTCTAGAATGCTGACCTTGAACTCGTTCGTGGTTCACGTGATCTCCTCAACGTTAATAAATTCCGTTTTCTTGTCGAAGTTCGATAGAAGGGGGAGAAACAGTGAAGTAGAAACTGTCGAGTGGGGCACATCAGTTACTATTCAACTTCATTAACGCTTTTTCAAAATTATCACCTTCTGTTTAAATTTTGTGCATCGAAAATCCTCAATTTTTTTTCCCTTGTACGGGAAGCACCTGTACAATAAACGATTATAGTTCCTTCTTGGGAAGAGCTCAGTTTTAATGTTTTATTACGAAACCGTATTCATACGCTTATTGCTCTGCCAAATCATCATGAATAACGTGTGCATAATCTGTTGCAAGACTTGGGTGGAAACCTTCACCATTCAACCTCGGTTTCTCAAACACTGTGCAACCTGGACGTTATGTGTCGAACATGCGATATGGAGAGTTTTTTAATGTTATGCAACAAAACTCATCGACAATAGAGCCGCGACTTTCAGAAGAACAGTGAAGAATTTCACACATGAGTCGCATTCCCATACCTTCAACATCGGTGTTCACCTGCTTTCATAACGTCTGAGGGGCTGTTACAATTTTTTACAGCAACTACCTCGCTGATGAACGAATCGCTCAGAGATTTGGTTCAGGAGCACAAACTGGGCAACATTAATGTGTATTAAATTATACGGGTTGTTCTTATTGCAATATTTCTCATCTCTGCTCACTCGAGTGTTCTATAGAAAATCTCCAATTGAATGGATATTGGTTCAAAAAAATCCTCAGATTTCTGCCACTCAGTTGTTGAAGTACATTCCAGCTCATCTAACGAACGCCCAAATGTTTCTGGATCGTCTACGTAACGCGCGACCCAACAGTGCGTACGTGGTGGAGTCCTTCGACGTCACTGCCCTCTATACGAACGTGTCGAATGACTCCGCTATGAAAGCCATAAACGAGCTCCTTATACAACACGAAGGAGCAATAAACATGTACGGCTTCTCGATTCAGCAGTTGTTGACACTCTTAAAGGAGTGCCTAAACTGCTCAATCTTCAGATGGTCCGAGAGGTATTACGCACAAATGAGAGGGCTGGGCAATGGAACAACGACTGGCACCAAGCCTTGCCATTGCATTCACGTCTAAGGTGAAAGCGCCAGTAATCGACCTCGGTCCGTCACTCTACTGTAGATATATAGATGACTGCTTGGTCATTTGTTCAACGTAAAAAGAAATCGACAGATGTTTCGAGTTATTGAACACACAGTCAGAGTATATTAAATTCACCCGAGAAAAACCAAAAGAAAACTGGCTTCCATTTCTGGATGTGCAAATTAGCCTATCAGAAAACGGCTACATTACGAAGTGGTATCGAAGGCCAAGTAGTAAAAACATCCTGGTTCATTACCTTTCCTCTCACCCCTATCACACAAAAAGGGCGCTTGTGAGATACATGTATCGAACAGCTACCACCGTGTGCACAAGAAGACAGCAGAGAGAGGAGTCCCGGAACTTGGCGCGGCAAATAGCCATTTTTAATGGCTACAAAACCATAGCTCGAGATAGGTGTAGAGGAAAGCACAGGTAACCCAACGACAACTCTAGCGACAACAAGATCTCGTTTATACTGCCCTTCATTTCAAATGAAGTAAGTGCAGCTATAAAACGCTGCTTAAGAAGGGCCAGTCTAGGGAATTCGGTAACGATAATCGAAATACCACCGAGTAATCTAAGACGCCAGCTAGTTCGTAACCGCCTATACGACCGTCTATGTGCAACGCAAAATTGCATAATATGCCTCAATGGTAGAGACGGTGACTGCATGAGTTCGGGTACAGTCTATCTGATCTCTTGTGAAGCGTGCGGGGACGAATACGTTGGCGAAACGGGTAGACCACTCTGCGTACGTATAAAAGAACACTAGTCGGCAAACGTAAGCCAAGTACTCCACTGGGTACTAATAGCACGCAGAAACATAACGGAGAAGATTTTGAAGTAAGGGTTACGATCCTCGCGCAAGAATCGAGAACACAAACGCGCAAAACTCTAGAGGCATTCCAGATTAATTCCAAGAATCCGAAAATGAACCGCAGGGAGGAATGCCTCGTTATCACGCGTGATATTGGACAGTATATAAACCTGTTATTCTGATAGGAGGGGCACATTACGCTTCCATGTGAATTCTGTGCCGTCGGTCTTCACGCGACATACTCAGTGGAAGACTCGTAGAAAGTGGTGAGTGTGCAGAGCTATGCTAAATGTAATTGAAATCTTGGTTTAGCGTTTTCTCTGTTTGGTTATGGAGGTGTTTGGCCGAATGGATTGCTGTCAACTTAATCCTTCCAGGCTCTGAGGAAGGCAAAATCCGCCGAAACGTCAGCTTGTGCGTAAATAAAGAAATAAAATGGCACCTCGTGTTTGCTGAATAGAAGTAGAAAGATGTAATCATGAATGTTTACAAAGTCTTAATTCCACAACAGTAGTGTAGCTGAAGGGATCATTGCGAACCGAAGATTTCAGCAAATCGGTTAGTGCGCTGTTGCGAATCTTCAAAGGAAAAATAAAAAAGAAAAAATCAAGCAGGGCGTTCAGGAATTCTTCGCAAACTGGGAATCCTGACTGACTTTTTATTGGCTGCCTACTACAGTTTTTTATGGCAGGGCAGTATGCGAAATACAACCATAACGATGCTGAGATATTTGCTAAACTCTGGACCGCAGGTGTCTGCAGTAGAGAACGAACGCGCTATTACCCTTTTTTTTACCTGTTGCCTTTCTGAAGTAGAGTTTACACGTGAAGGAAATCTTTTCAATCGTCACATGTTAAACAATCAGCCGCTACAGTACTAAAGCTGTATCATAACAATGAATAAATAACCATGCTATAGATAAAAATAACTTTGCTGTATTACAGCAGCATTATGATAGTCCAGAAAGGAAGACTTCACGAATAAATAACGGCTGCACCTAGCTTAGCAGATTTATGGAAGAGACTTTGCTCCATCGCAGTAATTCTCTACTTGGTCTTTATACACTGCCTTTTAAAAAATTTAGATGTGCTTGAAGTTAAATTCCCAAAAATTAGCGACGAGGTTCTAGGTTTTAGATCTTCTGGCACAAGAGCGGCATATGCAAAAATAAGCAACACCTATCCATGCTGGACAAAATTCCGCTTGTTTGTTTGCTTTTGTGTTCGAAATGTAAGCCTTGAAAAAGTAGAGTAAAAAACTGTCTATCATAGTATCCAGAAGACCAGAATTTTACCTTAGCAGAATAAGACAACTTGCATAGTGTAGGCAAAGATTTGTAGATTCGAATGGCCTTTATTCTACCAAGAGCATCAAATGCCGGCTGACATATGTGGGATTGTACATAAGTATCTATTATTTTCACACCGTTACATCGTATACAGTTCAACTAGAGCGACATGTGCTAAGTACTTTTAATGAAATCTATCTGTCCTTTTTAATCCCACATTTTTATTATAAAATTTAATTTCTCTAGCTTCACAGAGCAATCACTAATTATACAATTAGATTACTTCACCTACAATTCAAGAATTGTTATACAGTTTTAGACAGACTTATATAATAGTTAGACGTCCTCATTCAATCTTCGGTCAGTGATGATCGCTGGATTCCGGCAGAGGGAAGCCCACACGGCAATCCGTCTCAGGCCAATCGTACAACTCATTCATCGATGGCTCGTACTCGTAACTGTACAGTTGTTCTCGAATAAACATTTCCTATAAAGTGGTCTGCATTAACCTATCTTACCATACTAACAATATCGTAAAAAGCGTAGAGCGTTCGACATTGATCAACCTCAACGATAAACTATTTATCAGTTAAATAAACCTTGTATTCAGGTTCTGGGTGAAGAGTTGCTAGACCTTCCTCGTAGAGATGGTTTCCAATCTGCAATTTGAAATACGGTTACTTTTGAGCAACTCAAAACCGCTGTGAAAAAATAAAATAGCGAATTTCATCTTTGCAAATCCCATCTTATTTCTAGACAGCTTTATCAATACAATAATTCAATGACTCTAGCAGGTATCAGTTAAGCCTTCATTTTTTTAGTAGCGTAGCAAAGAAGCCTACTAGGTTTTCACTTGCATAGTGTAGGCAAAGATTTGATTCGATTCACTAAAGATTCGATCACTGAACACACACGAAGGGCTTGAAGGGATTGTCAGCTTGAATGGTTAGAAGAAGAACTGTACACAACTGTTAGACAATAAAAAACGCCTCTAGTCAAGGTGAGACAGTAAACGATGGTATTAATAAGACTATATTACATGAATATATCTTTCTACTTCTGTTCAGCAAGCACGAGGTGCTATTTTATTTCTTTATTTACGCACGAGCTGACGTTTCGGCGGATTTCGCCTTCCTCAGAGCCTGGAAGGATTAAGTTGACAGTAATCCATTCGGCCAAACACCTCCATAACCAAACAGAGAAAACTCTAAACCAAGATTTCAATCACATTTAGCATAGCTCTGCACACTCACCGCTTTCTATGAGTCTTCCACTGAGTATGTCGCGTGAAGACCGACCGCACAAAATTCACATGGAAGCGCAATGTGCCCCTCCCATCAGAATAACAGGTTTATATACTGTCCAATAACACGCGTGATAACAAGGCATTCCTCCCTGCGGTTCATTTTCAGATTCTTGGAATTTATCCAGAATGCCTCTAGAGTTTTGCGCGCTTGTGTTCTCGATTCTTGCGCGAGGATCGTAACCCTTACTTCAAAATCTTCTCCGTTATGTTCCAGCGTGCTATGCGGACCCAGTGGAGTACTTGGCCTACGTTTGCCGACTAGGTGTTCTTTTATACGTACGCAGAGTGGTCTACCCGTTTCGCCAACGTATTCGTCCCCGCACGCTTCACAAGAGATCAGATAGACTGTACCCGAACTCATGCAGTCACCGTCTCTACCATTAGGGCAAATTATGCAATTTTGCGTTGCACATAGACGGTCGCATAGGCGGTTACGAACTAGCTGGCGCCTTAGATTATTCGGTGGTATTTCGATTATCGTTACCGAATTCTCTAGACTGGCCCTTCTTAAACAGCGTTTTATAGCTGCACTTACTTCATTTGAAATAAAGGTCAGTATAAACGGGACCTTGTTGTCGCTAGAGTTATCGTTGGGGTACCTGTGGTTTCCTCTACACCTATCTGGAGCTACGGTTTCGTAGCCATTAAAAATGGCTATTTACCGCGCCAAGTTCCGGGACTCCTCTCTCTGTTGTCTCCCTGTGCACACGTTGGTAGCTGTTCGATACATGCTTCTCACAAGCGCCCTTTTCGTGTGAGAGGGATATTATATGAAGTAAATCACGTTGAAATTTGACCGGTCACTTCTACGTCGACCAGTCATTTCTATAGTCATAGGAATCTTTACCATGCTGAGAAATCTGTTCGCAAGACACTAAACAATCGTCTAGTCGATAAGAGCTGCAAGTGGTTTAGATCTGAGAACGCTATAACAAATCTGTCAAAGAACAAAAATGGCTAGATCGATTCGATGGGAGAAGATGTAGGACGCTCACGTCTCCACGGAACCCGAATATCTACTCGAACACCTTCAAGGATGACAGTTAGAAAGATAACAACGAAACGAGTAAAAGAATTGCTGGGGGATCGCACCACGTGTGGAGATGAGGCATCCAAGTATTAATGTAATTATAATAGAAAGTAATAAAATAATAAAAATAAGATAATGCTCAGAAGTGGCTGAAAAACCCGAGGTTCGAAATATAGCCTAGAAATGCAGGTCAAGAGTTCCAAGAAAACATTGCTGAATCCAGCAAGGAGTTTCCACTTCCTCCCTCGATAACGATATACGCGCTTCTTGTTAGTCAGCTGAGTATTGCGAGGGAGAAAAAGAGCGAAGTAAGTACAAAGCGACCCGAATCATGTTAACTTTCAAAAATCAAACCAATATGCCTAAACGAACGTACATCAACCGCAATGTTCAGTGACAATTCGCGAATTTCCTCCGTACTCGGATATACTCGAGCGTATTTGTTCAACGATTCCTCAGTTACAGAAGCTGCACATCGCTAAATCCACTGAACATAAAATCTTCAAATCCGATAGTAAAAGTGAGAAAAACGCTGTGGACAACGACTGGTTGAACTCTCACTGAACTCTTCAAATGTTAATACTTCAACTTTCTTAAAAATTGCAATCATTGAGGTTCCGAACACATCAATCCTATGAATCCCGGCAATCACTGGCTCAAAGAGGCTTGAGGTCTTAGTTTTTCAAATATCCCAGCGTCATTATGGCTGTCTGTCAAAAGCAAAAAAAAAGAAAAAAATCATCTAGTGGTTGAACCACATCCCCTCATGGAAAGTCTACTACTATTCTAGAAAAAAAAGGAAAAATGAGCTGTTGACTGAACCCTACCCACGCTAAAACCTTTCGTTATCCATATTTGAACCATTTCGATATGGAACCAGAATGAAGTCGTTCATTTTCATTTTCTTCGGAAACACCACAGAATACCACAATGCAAAACGGATTTCAAAAGAAAAAACAAGAAAAAAACCACTGAACAAACCCTTGCAGCGATCAGGAACGCCTTATCAGGAACACGCTTTGCCTTGAAGAGTACCGCAGCCAATGCCACACCGGGGAATATGTACGAATTATTGCCTTGACCGGGTTTGTAGATATTGCCATTCATCTCCACATCGTCAAATGGAGAACCGGAAGCGAAAAGCACCGCACCCTAATTAGGGTTATTAATAGAAAAGGAATAAAAACACTCTTCTACTTTTACAACAACACTCAATTGCCTGTTTATAAAACGCCGTATAAAGGATGTTTATGTTTTATTTACTACACGACCCGTCATCATGCTAAATGTGCGGGAGGGCACTGAAAATGTCGCACCGTCGTCGTAGGCCTCAACATTGAGTAGAATCAGCCTGGGACACTGTTTTAATGGGGCACACCGACCGGACGCACGACTATCTTTGAACCATGATTCTCAATTCGTGTGAGAATACAAGATCATAACGTAGCAGAATATAGAAAAAGGTATCTCGTTAAGTTTTTTTCTGCTCGTTGACACCACAACATAGCAGTGTGCACCTTTCTTCAAAGAAACTTTTCTTCCAATCACTAAAGAATTGGAACTCCAATAAAACAAATATCTAAGGAACACATTAGATATAGGAATTAATCAAGCGGGTACTCACATTGGTATAACGGTAAGCATTTTCGGCAGTGCATTCAGCTTTACTGGTCGGGTTTGAGAGAGCGAAAACAATCGGACGTGGGTTAATCTTGGCCATTTCGCTCAAGATCTCTGGTGTGAATGCTCCACTGACCGTAGATACTCCTGCAAGATTCGTATATGATTCATATTATCAATAATCAACACGGATAGTCGCCATCACTCCTGACTGATTGCTAACCATGTAATGAAGTGGGTCTGACATATTTCTGTATCCTACAACTAATCGCGGACAGGCGGTGTGCCACAACTTTGTTCAAGGCCTTCCAGAAACTCAAAAGGTCTCGTATTCTAAGTGAGCATGAGGAGACTGTCTTTAAGATGTACTATACAATACCACATACCTATAAGCACATTTGCTTGCACAGCTTTTACAACCTCAAGTAAGCTGGTCATCTGAGGAAGGTCCTGAAAAAAAAGAGAACAAAAGCAAGAACAACGAATAACAAAAAGGAAAGCTTCGCGGCTTCTTTTGGTAAAGCTTGCGCCAAAGAGAAACTTTTGCACATCGATATCGCTTACTTTTGCAAATTTCTGATGCCGAACGGTGAGTGTATGAGCACGATCTTTAGTTATAAGACCTTTGCTGTTTAGTAAGAAAATATTTCCACGTGCTTCTTCTTCAGTCAGTCCTTCATCCATCATTTGTCTAACGCATAGTTCCGCAATTCCCAAACCGGCCTTTAATTCATCATATTCATTTATCATCCCATATCAAGCGTTATTTCGTACGCTGAAATAATTTTAGGTTATAAAAGATTAGTGCATCTTATTTAGAGGTAGTCTTTAAGACGTCGAAACCAGTTCACTACACTAAATTCGATAGGGAAACTTGGAGAACGCAAAAAATTTATTCTTAATTGTTGAGCTAGTTAGATAGACTCCTTAGACCTTAGATAGACCCCAGCAAAGGCTCCTTTATTTTGTTAGCACATTTGAAGAAATTGAAGAAACGACAAAACCTGAAGGCCCACGTCAGTGGTTTTAGCGCAATGTAATAGATTGTCCAAAAATAAACCAGCGTTTCGAAATACGACCATTTTCCAGACCGAACTGAGACGTGGGACGAGGAGTGGACTTTGTACGAAAACTGGCGACTTTCGCCCATATGGTCAGATTGCGACCAGACTCCACAGCATATCCCAAAGCCGAAATTACACCAAAAAAGGTTATGGCGACTGTTTGCTGGCCTGAAGCCGGGCTTATTCATCAAAGTTCTCGTACTACAAAGCGATCACTACTATTAGCAGCCAGCATCCTGTATAAAAGAACATCACATAGTGAGTATGGCTCATTCGAGAGAAATTCTCCACCGGGGAAGATCCAGCGCGACGCGCGACGAAGCCGCTACTTCGAGAGCACAAACAACTGTGCACCATTGAGTTGGATCATCGACTCTGATTGAGAGGAAGCCGTTGAAACATTAGCCAAATAAAGATCTTTATCAATCTCGTGCAAACTCAACAGTATAAACACATGGTGATTATTTTAGATAACATTGTTAAAACGCTTTTTTATTTTATGCCTTTGTTTTATTTTTATTTTATTTTTTATTTATTTCTAAACAAGGTGTAATATTTACAACATTGTAATAATTAGTATTGTAATAGGCATATAATGTTAGGTACATAATTCGTGACTCATTTAATTTTTTCAACATTTTAAATAACTCCAATATTAGAGAGGAAAATTCAATTCTAGCATGTATAACTAACTCTATAATTGCTTGGTTCAATCCTCGACAAAAGCAATCGTTTGTAGCCAATCCTAGGACCATCTTCCTTTTAACCTCAGCAATGATCAACACGCTACTGCTTTCTTGATGAGCAAACACGAGATTGTCAACAATACGATTTATTCCACGGAACTCCTTCATGAGAGCTTCTCGAAATTGCGGACCAAAGACAATTCACTGTATTCTACGAGTCAATTTGGCCAAAAGCTTGCAATCAAGTCGTAGGGAAGTATATAGGACGCTATTAGGAGTTGCCTCAAACAAATAAGCTCCATGTCCACTCTGGGAAAGACTAGAAAGCTACCTGTAAGTGTACCCAGACCCCATATTCACGGCTCAGCAAGCTATATGTGGTGTCAAAAAGCGAAAAACAGTAAAAGAAATGGGCCTCATTTGCCTGACCCCGAAATAGTCCCTATTCGGCAGCGTTGGGTAGCACGAGTACGGAAAGGATGCTGAAACCTCAGGGCTATTCTAAGCTTCCTAAACCGCAAAAGACTAAGGTGACGATCTGCACCTACAATGCACGCACAGTTGCATCTATGTCCTAGACAGAAGTCTTGGTCAAGCAAGTAAGAAGGATAAAGTACGACGTCGTCGGCCTGACAGAGGCGAGAAGACGCCAGCCTTGCAACGCCGTCTATGACAGCGGAGAAGAACTGTTCCTCGGAACATGCGACAGTAGAGGAATCGGCGGCGTCGGCGTTCTCGTCAACACGAGTTTGTCCATGAACATCGATTCATTCGAACAACTTACAACCTGAATCGGACGTTTAGGACTAAAAAGACATAAATCAATTCGGTTTTGACAATCTTCGTCGTTTACGCGCCAAGATAAAACAATGACGAAGAAGAAATCGAAGCGTTCTATATGGATTTGGAGAAGTTCTACAGACAAGACCGTACACTCATCGAGGTCACTATTCGAGACTTTAATTGTAAGATTGAACCCAGAAAAACGCTTGAAGAACGTCACGTTGGAACTCAAGAAATGGAATTAAACTAGCAAGGTGGGCGGCTCTCTGAGCTTATCACGACCAGGAGTATTCATGGTAACTCGCAAATGCAGGAGTCGTACACTCAACGCAGAACGTGGGAGTCTCCCAGTGGAGAGTATCAAAACGAAATAGACCACATCGCAGTAAAACGGTTTTGCCTAACCGATGTCGCTGTTGCCTTAAAATTTTACACGGGATCCGACCACCGCCACCATCTTTCAAGATTCCATTTCTCGCAAAAACGAGAAAAAGCCGCTAAATTCAAAAAACGAAGTCCCAAAACCACCATAAACTGGAACTTATTTAATTCACTAGTCGGCTGTTGGGAAGATTCCGCTATCGATAATATCAACGAAGAATACGATCGGCTCATTCAACATCTTCACCTTAGGGCTTTGAAAGCTAAGGGTTTGAAAGCCACCGAAAGATATCTGTCTCCAGAAGTACCCGAGTTCAAACGCCAGCGTGGAATTGCACGAGTTGCAGGCAACTGCGAACTAACGTCCAAACTTGCAAAACAACGCAGAGAGGCGATAAAAGAGGATCTTAAAGGGAGAAGAGCAGCAGTAATGGTCGAAGCTGCAGAGGCTGGGAAAAGCATTCGCAAAGCCCACCGAAGCTTCGCCAATTACAAGACCAAATTGATTGCGCTCCGACGCCCAGACGGAACAGTTATAGCGTCTGGAAAAGTAGTGGAGAAAATCATTCACGAATACTACCCATATCTCTTCGATAGCCACGTCCACCTTCCATCATATGAAATAAAGGAGGATGGATATGTTATACCATCTGTTCTACTTTCCGAAATCCGACAAGCCATTTCGTCGGTGAAAAATCGAACAGCACCAGGTCCGGACAAGAAAAGACCAGAACACCTGAAGAACCTTCCGCCAGTCCTCGTAAACACAGTGGGTCGACTTTTCACACGTTACTTGTCTGAATGCAAAGTTCCTTCTCGGTGGAAGACCAGAAAGATCGTGCTATTGTTCAAGAATGGTGACCTCAACGATATCCGTAACCATCGCCCAGTCGGTTTGCTGTCTGCCGCCTACAAATTTCACTCGAGTCGTCATAAACTAGCTTAACAGAGCACTGGACGGAAAGCAGATATGTGAATAACGAGGATTTCGAAGAGGATTCAGTACGATGGAGCACATCCACACGACAAAAAGACTCATTGAAGTATCGCAAGAGTACAAAAGATAGCCGCTTCTCAGCTTCATCGATTTAAAGAAAACTTTTGACTCAGTTGAGATAGAAGCAGCCATGGACACTCAGGGGAGTCCCTACTCAGTATATAAGGATTCTTCGAGAGTTGTACAAAAACTTCAAAACAAAACAAACAAAAGCGACCAAGACATCACCATTTTACAACGGTATTAACGTTAACGTCAAAAGAGGAGTTAGGCAAGGCGATACCATCTCGCCAAAATTATTTACCGCCACCCTCCAGAACGTCATGCGAACATTGGAATGGGATAAAATGGGAGTGAAAATCGACGGTCAGCCGTTACACCATCTTCGCTTTGCTGATGACATCGTCCTTATAACACCAAACATTAGCCGGGCAGAACGAATGCTGGTCGACTTTGATAAACCCTGTGAAAAGATCGGTCTTCGACTAAATCTCACAAAAGTGATGTTCATGAGAAACGGACTGGTTTCATATGCCCCCTTCACGCTGATCGGGAGGAATAGCACTGAATGCTCCCGCTACATCTGTCTAGGTCGCGAAATTGACATAATGAACGACTTAGCTCTAGAGTTGAGCCGAAGGAAACGAGAGACTTGGGGAGCTTTCAAGAAGTGCATCGGTGGCGTAGTGAAGAGAACAAAAACACCCATCTCTTTACCCACCTTTTCGACTCAACGATACTTCACGCCTTCACATATGCGTCAGAAACCTGGTCGCTGCGTAAGCAGGATGAAAGATCACTCAACGTTATCGAACGCGCAGTCGAAAGTACGAGGCCAGGGGTATCCCGTGTCACACAAATAAGGGAAGAAATCCGAAGCTCCGACCTGCGTCAATTATCAGAACTCAAAGATGCCGTTCTATACGCGAAACTGTCGAAAATAACGTGGGGAGGATGCGTAATGCGAATGAACGACAACCGATGGACAGGGGCTGTTAGTAACCGGATTCCTTGGGATATCAAACGGACTGCAGGAATACCACCGACTCGATGGTCAAAGTTCTTCACGAAAAGCATAGAAGAAAGGTGTGATGCTCAACGAGTCCCTTGAGCAAGCAGAATCCACCAGGCTACTCGTGCATACGACAGAGAAAAGTGAAAGATTTATTGGCGCCCGCTCGAGTTATTCGACGATCAACGAGACGACGTGTAATACAGGTGAAGATTTATTCAATACAATAATACCCATTGTTTCGGCGGTTTTGAGTTTTTCATTGCAAGATGCAAATTGAAACACAATCTACCCAATCAAACACTTTCATAATCCCAGCAGACGAAGCTCGTTAGACAAATGTTTATTCGCACCGTGAACAGCTTCTCCTAAATAATCAACGTTTTGCTCTATTAAACCGACTTTTACTGAACATTGCCGTCAATAACCAAACGTATCGTTGGGTTGTTTAGTTTGCACAAGGTTATTTTCAAAAAGACGATAAAGCTCCCGATGCTAATCAATCCGTGAAGGATACGCCCATTCGACTTCAATAAGCATCATTGGAGGTGAATGAATGCATATCTGGCCTTTATAATGCCACCCTCCTAGAAAAGTCTGGTGCCAATCTACCGATCCCGGAGGGATAGAAGTCTTGATGGGACTGGGGCGTGGGGATCGATTCTATGTTCATGACAGGACGCCTCCGACCACTGCGCTACACGCGCCGTTATTATGATCCCCTAGAAGTTGTTATATAACATTTCTTCGGGTAATATTTCGACGACTTCGTCTTCTTTAAACCTGATAGCTGATATTCCTACTCTGTAGCTTACAATTCAAAGGGCGCATATGGTGCAACGGTCGGAAGCGCCTTGCAACGCACACATGGAATCGATCGCCGCGCCCACGGTCTACCAAATCCTCCATCCCTCCCGGGTTGGCAAATTGGTAGCAGACTTGTCTGGAAGGATAGCAGCCCCAGCTCGGCACATCGGTAGGCCACCGCGAGTTATTTTAAAGGCCAGATATGCATTCAATCACCTCCACACGATGCTTAGTGAAGTCGAATGTGTGGCGCATCCCTCAGGGATTGATCAACACCGAAAGATTTATTTATTTATTTATGGCCTACAACCGTCGTTCATCGTGGGCCTTCGTAATCGCACCGAGTCGAATCTTCCGGAGCCCAGCACCGCTCAAATCAAGTAACCTCTCACTCGTCGGTGCCAATTTATACATAACGATTTTTGTCTGATTGTGGACTGATAATTATTTCCTTTCACATAGATAATCCATTTTGTAGCAGTTGCTCGGTATTAGAATAGGTGGCACACAACGAAATAATACTTTACCATACCTATTTTTGCTTAGGCTGGACGTCAATAACGAATAGTTTTCTCTGGATTATTAAAAAAATCAGCAACACAGGAACGAAGATAAAGAACTGAGAAAACAAAATCAGATCAAAATGAATAGCAAGGAGTGTTTTGTGATCATATGCGATCTCATGCTACATCTCAGGGTGATTTTATAACCTGACCCAGAACATTCCTCGCCTATCTAAGACTCTCTGCAGATGGTTTCCAATAATAACTAGAGGATTTACAAACAACATGAAGGCGGGTGTCCGTTGATAATAAGTTCGTAATTTAAAAAACGGCTAGTATTTAAGAGAAGCTGTTTACTATGCGAATAAGCATTTATACACTAGTGTTCAATCTCTATTCACTGTATATTGTTTTTTCATGGCAGGGTAATTATGTATAAAGTTTTATCTGTTGAGGTTATGAGTGTTTGACTAAGAGGTTTCGATCCCTCCAAGCTCTGAGGAAGGCGAAACCGACGAAACGTCACCCATCATGAATGAATAAGTGCTGTAATAACAACCTCGTGTTTGCTTGTCAACACACCGTGAATAATCAGTAATAATCAGTATAATCAGTATCAGTAGGATTTATATTGTTGAACTTACACGAGGTTGATATGACATGCTTATTCGGCTGACGTTTCGACGTCTTCGTCTTCAGCAGAGCCGACGATCCTTGTCGATGATCCACAGTTGTTCGTTTCCTCGATGTGGTGTCTTCGTTGTGATACCGAGAGATATCTTTTCAGTGGAGCAGTGCTCGAATGAGGCAGTCTCACCCGGCAGCGCTCTTTTATACAGGGCTGTTGTTGTTGATATGGCTATCAGTTGATGATAATTTCTTTTTCTACCGATAATCCACCCTGCAGCAGTCGGTATGTTCTTAGCTAGCACATGTCGAATAACAAAATCATAATTTTTCATATCAACAACAATCGCCCTGTATAAAAGAGCGTAGCCGGGTGAATATGGCTTATTCGAGATGCTCAGCTGAGGAATATCTGGTTCGATGCGAGATGAAGACGTCACATCGAGAAGACGAACAACTGTGGACCATCGACGAGGATCGTCGGCTTTGATGAAGACGAAGACGTCAAAACGTTAGCTGAATAAACTCAACACTATAAACAAATGTTGATTATTATAGTGCCAAGGTTTAATGACGGTCGGTTTCAAAATTACCATCAATAATCGTTTTTATTAAGAAACATATTGTCAACAACATCATATGAAGTGTAATTGACACAACTAAGACTCGAAGTTAAAAAAATCTAGAAGAAAGTGAAGATTGTAAAATTTTTCCGAAACTCCGCAAACTTGTCAAGGTTTCTCATATTATCTATGATGGAAAAATCTCCAGTACCTCTCCAGCTCCGAAGAAGACGATCTTGTTCTGTGAGAGTTTCACTTTTGTTACACGAGTTGTGGCAATTAAGCCGGCAACGGCTACAGCCGCAGTTCCTGGAAATCCTAATTGTCCGGCTAAAAACAACGTTCTACAACATTTTCTAAAACTATTTGTGAAAAGTACCACGGTCGGGAGACGGGAAACGCACTAGTTAGGGGCACCATGTAGTACAAACAACTACATCCATGGTTAGAATCCACAGTGAGCCAGTCATGATCCCCAATTACTAATCCTCCTTTCCAAAACACAAGAACCAATGACTGCCTGTGGTATCAAAGTACTGGAAACGCTATAGAAGAGCTATCACATGATTCCAAAGAGAATTAGTTCAACTAGCGCTCTACATTCATGAATAGGATTAAGTGGTTAAGAAACAACTAAAAATTCCTCAATGTTATTTCTGCGATGCGGAGGGAATGTGATGCTGCAACCTCTAGATGACATCCATTACTACTGGTGGAATGCTACTCAATATCTACTAGATGGCAGACGTTACTAGTAGAGGATATTTTAGACATTGTGGGGACAATTTTATCTCCACCCGGTTAGTAGAGAGGCAACGAGGCACTAGAGGGTTATTCGTGGGACAAAAGCGATCTTATTTTTCCCTGAGATTCAGGTAGACCCAGATGGATTCCTTGTTTCTGCTCCGACGACTTAGCACATATCTTGTGTAATGCCCAAGACCGACTTTCTGTTAACCTCGACATTGATTGGTAATTCGATAATTTTCTTCAATGAGCAAACACGAGGTTAATATTGCAGAATTTATTTGCACATAATAGCTGACGTTTCGTCGGTTTCGCCTTCTTTTGAGTCTGGAAAGGTCAAATAATTAACGTTCTTTGTGATAGGTCCACTTAGAGTATCCCCTTACAACATTGATAAAACGGTTTTTGGAATTGTAAGTCATCATGATGAGTTTTGGTCGTAAGATCAGATCTCAAGGAAACCGACGCTGCGAAGACTTCCAATAGCATTATCAAAGTACACCAAAACTTTGCTAATTGCGTGACCAAAATCATTGCATTCCAGCGCCCAAAGGGAGCAGTTACAGCGATCAGAAAGGCAATAGTGGAAATCATTCACGACTGCTACGCGGATCATTTCACTAGCCTTGCCCTCTTGCCCTCCTAGGAAACAAGTGACACCAAGTGTTAGCCAAACAGAATAAATGTTTGCCGACTTTGGTAACGCTTGAGGAAAGATTGGTTTTCGGCTAAATCTCACAAAAACGATGCTCATGAGGAACGGATTGGTTTCGTATGCTTCATTCACGCTCACTACTCATTAACGGAACGAATATTTCCAAATACTCCAGCTATATCTATCTAAGTTGGGAAATCAACATGGTTAACTACTTAACACCAGAACTGAGCAGGAGGAAGCGAGTGCCCTGGAGAGCTCTCAAAACACTGGGGAGGCAATGAGCAGAATAGAGAACATCCCAATCTCACGACCAAATTTTCGACCCCACTAGTGTTCCTGCATTGTCTGCGACAGAATCCTGGTCGCAAGGTATGCAGAATGAAAGATCACTCAGCGTTATAAAACGCAGGAAAAAAGACGGTGATAGGAGTATTCCGCATCACGCAATTGTGAGAAGAGATCCGAACCTCCCAGCTATCCCAACGGTTAAAAATCAAAGACCCAATCCTACACTCCAAATTATCGAAGATCAGTTAGGTCAGATAGGCAATGTGTATAGAGATAAACAGAATGGACCGATGGACAACAGCCGTTCGTGACTGTATTCCTCGGAATATAAAAAGGAGGACCATAGAATCCGATAGTCAGAGCTCTTCAGGAAAACGCTAGAAAAAAGATATTGTGCTTAACGAGTTCCTAAAGCGAGAGGAATCCATTGCGCTATTCTTGCACACGACAGCGAGGAACGGAAGACGTACTGGCATACTCACTCACTGGCACAACTCACTCGACTATCAATGGGACGATAGGTTATACAGGTGATCCTTATGACAGTTATTGGCCTCGTGAAGTATTCTACGATGAGGCACCCCAAAGCTAACATCGATAAGCTGTTCACTTCGCAATTTTCATAGGTTATTACCTAGCTATAGGAGCACATGTGGCACAGTGGTCGGAGGCGCACCGCAACACACATGTGGAGTCGATTCCCGCGCCCATGGCCCACCAAGCTTTCCATCTCTCTGGGGTAGACAATTGTACCAGACTTGTGTAGGAGGATAGTAGCACTGGCTAGGTACATCGGCAGGGCATCCCGAGTCATTGTAAAGGCCAGATATGCATTCAGTCACCTCCAAACAATGCTTAATGAAATCGAATGCATGGCGCATCCCTCAGGGACTGATTAACGCCGAGAGCTTTATCCTTTATCTTTTTATCGCGTAGATGCTCAGCTCACGCCAGATTATATATATAGTACTTAGAATGTATCACAGTAGAATTACGAAACTGCGAAAATTTTGAGCACATTATGACAAAGCTCATTTTTTGAAATGCTATGAATAAAGCCACCGATTTGCAATGGTGCCATTTCCTAAAATGAACGCAATAAGGTAGAACCAGATGGTTATGCCTAGACAAGGTTACCTTGAATGTCATCGTTGAAGGTGCAATAATCGTTTTTATAGCGATCTATTAGAGTGTACGCATTACTGAAGGCGAAATCTTCGAACTGAATCAATGTTTCGCTACCAAATCTGTGAAAATAACAACGAATTCGATTGACAAAACTTCTTATTTGTAAAAAATAGCAACGGTACTACCAGTAACACTTACCGTTTTGTGACCGCTATCATGAAATTATCGATTAGTTGGTCATATTCCGCGCCACGAACTCGCGGACGACGCAGCCCAGTGTAGAAGGGATTATCCAACAACTTCTGTAAAACCACATACTTATTTTAACAAATCACTGGGCGGGCAGAGAGAGAGAGAGAGAGAGAGAGGGAGGGAGAGAAAATGGGTATATAGAAAATCATCAAAGCACTAACGGGAGAAGGGCGCGTGTGGCGCAGTGGTCTAAGGCGCCTACAGCACACACGTGGAATCGATCCCCATTCCCATGACCCACCAAGCCTTGCATTCCTCCGGGGTCGGCAAAGTGGTACCAGGCTTGTCCAGGAGGATGGCAGCACTGGCTCGATACATCGGTAGCCTACCGCGAGTCATTGCAAAGGCCAGACATGCATTCAATCACCTCCAAAGATGCTTATTGATGTCGAAAGCATGAAAGATTCCTTAGAGATTGATCAATGTCGAGTGCTTTCTCTGTTTTCTATTCATGAGAAGAACCATAACTACCAAAAAAAAGCATCAGAAACTCCGAAGCATATCTGCTCACAACGCATTTGTTAACGAAGGCAAAAAAAAACCTGGTTGTTAGTTCCGACGTCGATAAGCACCGGCAAGCACCACTGTGGCTGAATTCCAGCCAACGCCACATAGAGTGCCAGCTTTCCAACAGGAATACCCATACCATAAGCACCAAGATCTCCAAGGCCGAGGATTCTCTCGCCATCAGTCACGACAATAGCCTAAGGAAAACGGGCTGTTCACATTACATAATGATTGTGTCATGTTCAAACACAATTCAATGCTTCATGACGTCCTCCACATGATGAAATACAAAGCATAAGTATCGATTGTGGTTACCCAATTCAAACGCATGACGCATGCTTCAACATTTTACCTTGACATCCGTTCTCGGCCAATTGGATAAGATTTGATAGATCTTACTGATGCTGTTGTCGTCAATAGTAATGTAAAGTCCCCTAAAACAAATAAGTGACATCCAATAAGAATTTTAACATAAACCAAAGCACAATCCGTGTAAATGAACTCAATTCGGACGACGATAGATCTCGCCAAATTCCTGACAAGCTAAGCCAACAGTTGGAGTGTAGACTATGGGCATTAGTTCCCTAATATTCTCACAAAGAACGCGATAGAAGAGTTTTTCCGTTCGACCTTGCAGTTCATCCAGTATCATAAACCTTAAAGCGAATATTTTCAAATATTGAAACACAAGAAATGAAATAGGTAAACAAGTGGATATTTCTTGTCCTCGATCTTCTGTTTGATCTTCTTTGTTAACACCTAAAATTTGACACTTAGTTTCGCGTAAGTGCCCCACCTGGTCAAAGCTTTACATTTTGCCATGTTCGCTATGAGTTACCATCAGCTCATACGTTCAGTCTGGCGCCAGTAAATGACCTCATCCTTTTTCTCTATTCTTTCCTTGCAATATTTTCACATCACTAGTAATATATATATAATGTCACGTCATTAATGTCAAAATATTCGGAGAAGGGCAGCGCAGTGGCTAGTGGTGCCGTCGATAACCAAAGAAAGACGCTGGTTCGACCCTTCCCTAACATAACAACTAACTCCCACATCTCTTCCAATCCATGTGGGAACGGCTGAGTCCGGCTATCTCCAAGATTGCAATGGGAATCGACTGGAAGAGCATTCTACGACATTCATAAAGAAGACGAAACCCTCAAGCACCAACTGAAGCAACACGCAAAATGTTCGAGGATCGTTGTGGTTTCGTTGTTTTCTCTCCCAGCAATCGCGAGCTTGTTAAACAGCATACGCTTACTTCCATACAATAACACACATATAACACAACCGTAGCTGACGTTTCGTCAGAATCGCCTTCTTCACTTTTTTCACCTCTCTTTCACCGAGAAAGAACAGCCGCTCAGAGTCGCGTATGGTTGACGATTACCTCTGTTTCCTAAAAAAGCAGTCCATATGCGACTCTGAGCGGCTGCTCTTCCTCGATAGAAGACAGGTGAAAAAAGAGGCTCTGAAGAAGGTGATTCTGTCGAGTCGTTAGCGCGATTGCTGAGAGAGAAAAGACGAATTCATAATCCAGTGCCGAAGTTAATAGGAAGTCGATCCTGGCCATCATTGTGGATGTTAAATGCGAGAAAACAGATCGAATACGAAAAGTCTTGGGAACCTATTCGTAGAAGTGATAACGGCTCATGTAAGAACAGTTTCATGTTTAGTTAATATTTCCATATTTCTGGTTATGTATGCTCAAAATATTCGATGTATACCTCTCCATTAACACATAATAGAGATTCTCATTTTTCGATATTCTCCAGTAATTTCTCAGTAAGTACTCGAGCAACTAAAAATGTCATAAACGTAGAGAAAAATTCTAATCTGCAGCTCAAGGTATATGCAATTTTTCTAAATGGTTATTTTCACAGTAAGGGTTCAATCAGATTCAAATTTTATACAGTTGAAGTCTGTGGACACCAACCAGGAAACTGAGAGGTCCATATACTACGACAAATATTCGTCCTAATCAATTTAAGATTTGAAAGTTATAAAAACAGAAGCAGCAGAAGAGAACTATTGACTCAACACTTCTACAATATTCTGAGGTCCCACTGTGACTTGGCTGACGAGACCTCGCTCTGCATTTCGAACTACGACCTTAGACGACAAAAAAAATCACGTTTAGTAAACTCTGGAAAATCAGAATTTCATTGGTTCGACAAGGAAACTTGACTCTTGCTTGGATCTGGTGCCCTGATCTTCTTTTTCTGTTCCACCAAGAAAGGTTATACTTTTTTGGGAACGTTAGAATACACCAGACAATGAAAATGAGGCTATGAAAAGTCATAACCATTGAAAGCTTAGAAGCAATAGTAATTCCAAAAGTTTTCCAAATAAATTAAAGGGGTTATAATTGGGTCTGCTTATGCCTTCATCTTCTTAGGTCTCAAGTTGAGGGTAACACTCGATCGTTTCGAGATGTTGCCTCATATTTGATGCATGTTATAAAAGACAAAACCTTTTGCATGAAACGCTCCTATCCAACTGGTCAACACAAATTGTCCGGGAATCTAACAAGCTGCCAAGAACGTTTGTGTTGATCCCTTTCTGCTGATTTTTAGGTGAAAGTCAAATTCTGTAAAAACATACCACATAAATATGAATTCTTTCTTGATAAGCTTGCACGAGGTTGATAAATATATTTATTTTCGGCTAACGTTTCGACGTCTTCGTCTTCCTCAGAGCCGTGTCGCCACGGGAAGGGTCCTGTGGAGGTGAAGGCATCTAAAAGGGCATCACTGAGTGAGGATGCCTCATTCGAGAAGATGGCTCGCTGAGGAAGATCTGGCTCGACAGGAAGGCGAAGACGCAACGTCGAGGCGAACAACAAGCATGGACCATCGACTCGGATCACTGGCTCTGAGGAAGACGAAGACGTCGAAACGTTAGCCGAAAATAAATATATTTATCAACCTCGAGCAAGCTTATCAAGAAAGAATACATATTGATTAGTCACACCGAGGTTTAGGGAAGGTCGGTTNCAGTGATGCCCTTTTAGATGCCTTCACCTCCACAGGACCCTTCCCGTGGCGACACGGCTCTGAGGAAGACGAAGACGTCGAAACGTTAGCCGAAAATAAATATATTTATCAACCTCGAGCAAGCTTATCAAGAAAGAATACATATTGATTAGTCACACCGAGGTTTAGGGAAGGTCGGTTTCGAAATACCACATAAAATTCACAAATACGTGACCAGCGAATTCAAATTGGGCACCAAAAGTGGCTATACGTATAAGATTATAGTGTACGCATTCAGGCAATTTCTCCAGAAGTGAAGCTTCTCAGTTGGAGAAGACACTTCTGCAAAGAGTACAAGAGGATCCCCATGGCTAAAAAATTATTTGACGAAAAGATCCATCTGATTGGCAGATGTATTCGGAAAGGGCAAGAAATCCACTAGGTGGTTACTAACCAGAAGCTAAAGAGAGGATAACTAAAAGCACAACAGAAGCGGAGAGTTATAACATTTACAAAAAGGAATGATATCAGTGGTGTTATAATGATACCCATGACACACGATCTAACCCTTTCTGCAAATTCAAAAAAATTGTCGATTGTGAAAACCACGGAAAACTTTCCAAATACAGGAATTGCAGTTTGTAAAGTATTTGACTGTGATGTTCACAATATCAGTGGAATGTTACGATAACACGAGTTGGGAATAATACACTGCGTAAGAGCACACGGTTGCAGACCTTAGCCAAGCTGACTTCGAGATCCCACGGTACCACAATGGCTCAACCAGTAAGTCTCCAAGTGGGAAAGTGGAGATTTTGCATTGGTGCCCGCACAACTAGTGAAGACGGGCTGTCCAAGTATCCAAGTGAATAAGTAAGAACGCATTAACGAACACAGCAGTTTTGCAGACAGGTTCGGCGAGAATACAACTACGTACAATTATACGATAAACTTTCGCCAACAACTTACCATTTAATCGTAGGAAAAAACTTCCTTACATTCAATCACCATGACACGTCATTAATTACCAACAGTAAACTCCTATAAAGCTAAATACTACGTGGATTGAACCGCACAACCCTTATGAAAGAAAGCTAAACTGAGTTTTTCACAAAAAAAAACCATAATATAAGTACCATATATTCACTAAAACAACAGGTTTATTGTAGGGAGACGTCATTGACAGAACTGACTTTTCTAAGTTGTCGGTTTCGCGGCGAATCTGTTTCATGACACGACAGGCCTGTTGTTCTTGTGTCATAAACGCCGGTGGTAGAAGTCCGTGTATTCCGAGATATTGACGTTCATGAAGCGTAAACGCCATACCCTAAAAGGGATACGGCTGATAAGCAGACATATGGATGAGTAAGAAACCTTATAAGAAGTTATTTGTTTCTTCAAGTCGTTGCTGTAGAGTGGAATCATAGGCATTCCTCTTCTATAGCAACTATTCCCAGAATAGTTTCTGTTTCTTTCTATGTCTATTTCTACCTTTCTATTATTGTATGTTTCTGCAGTAAGGACCATGTCTACTGTTTCTCATGTTGCCTAGCAAATGTCGTAGTACGTTAATATTTTGATCCCATCCTAAGGAACTTCGATCGCTATTAACAGTTTTGTTATGTGAACCCATTTTTGCAATCTGAACTTGTTGTTTGTTATTATTGTCTAAAAGTCATCATGCATACAATAACAAGAAGGGCATGAGGATGTTTGCGAGAGCAGTCTTCTGCCAGCTGATTTTTGTTTTGAGAGGATTTGGAAACGGTAGCCGACGAACGTTTTCGGTAAAGATGGTGGAGCTCTGCCAAATACCGCCTTCTCCAGAAGCATATAAATAGCTCCGTGAATTACTATCTGGGTTCCTTCCCGTCCAGGTTTGTCGACTATCCAGGCTCGTCCCCTATCCTCGTTTGTCCCCCTATTGATCTCGTGTGTCACCTATGCAGATCATCGTAGTTTTTAACTCATACTGCACGTGGTCATTATTGTATATTAGCTTCACTCTACCGTTATTACAGCGCAGTCGCGAGTTGTACATTAACTTCATTACACCATTGTTGACTGACAGTTGCGAATTGTACGTTAACTTCGCACTATTGTTACTACGTCACGCTTCCCATAAGCCCAGTATATCCTCATCATCATCCTGATCCTCATGCTCGTGTCAATATTCATTGTTTATCACTTGATCTGCGGCCCATTGTCAGTAGCGGCGGCTATCCTCAAATGCGTTCTGTCTGCAACGCCATCGGTAACATGTACTATTCCTCCCACACTGTATGCCATGCGTACAAGGCCGGTGGTCGGCAAACTTATGCTATGTATGTTATGCCGCTATAGTCGGCTACCAGTTCTCAGTTGCATCATTTATGACCCAAGTTATCACTTAGGCAATGGTCGTACCTATCGATGCTCAAACTTCACGTTGCAGACATATCGTTATCCAAGAACAACCGCCTGACCGTGTTCCTCAGATGTCTCATCTCGTTCGTAGTTACTTCGACCATCGATGCTTAGGTAATTTGCTATCCTCACCGATCAATGTCAAAATACACCTGACCGCTGTACATATGATCTCTAGCTTAGCCTAATGCACGGTTCGTCTGCATGTCACTCCTCTGTTGCTCTAGCCATCGGCATCTTGGCCGCTGTACGCGCCAGTGTAGGCGCCATCACCCGCATTCCCTTAGTCGTCATTGTTATCAAGTTTCTATTATTACTGTATTAATGTTATAATAGTATCCTAAACTGTTGTGCTCTTATTAGTTTCACTTCATTAGTAGTTATAGCGCCTCATAGTCTTGGACTTCCCTTGCTGTTATGCCAGTATTTTTCTGTCGTTACTCCTTTTGTGTTGGTGTTGCATTTACGTACATAAACGGTTTAATTATCCAGGTTTGAGGTATTGCTCTGTGGCAATTACGAAAAGTCCCGCACGCAACTACATTATCTTCTATGTCTAGCTGCTGCACATGTAGTACAGTGTTTGAAGGCATCTTTTCCAATAACACCTCGCCGTCGGTTCGATCCAGAGCAAAACTGACCCTCCGGGGAAGTGGGTGGAACAAACTGGTGACAGAGTTATGCAGGGTGATAAAAAAAACACTGACCAGGTATTAGGTCGCTCAGAAATAAATGAGCATTTCTACGATCGACTTTCTATTAACCTCGGCATTAGATTACAAATAAATTACAGATTACGTTTTTTTTCTCACCAATCGCGAGGTTGTTAAACAGCATACGTTTACTTCCATGCAATAGCACACACACAACACAACCGTAGCTGACGTTTCGGCAGAATCGCCTTCTTCAGAGCCGCTTTCTTCACCTCTCCTCCCGAGTTCTGGTAGCGGCGGATTCGTTGAAGGGATTTCTTGCGTCACCGTGGTTAGTGAAGCACTTCTCACACAGGAAGTTTTCAAGCTGCTTGAAGAAGTATAGTCAGCAAGCGAGAGGTCTGTCGAATATGGTGGATGAGGCAAAGTTTCGTAGCCCAAGTCGCTCAACTTCAGCAGAGCTGGTTTCGCAACGTGAGGCAAAGCGTCATCTTGGAGAAAAATTGGTCGTTTTCTGTTGACTAGTACCGTTCGTTGTTGTTGAAGTTTACGGTGCTTTTTTTCGATTTGCTGGCAATACTTCTCTGCCGTAATCGTTCGCTGGAGATCAAAAAGCGTGATGGATCACCTTGGCTGAAGACCACCAAACAGTCACCATAACCTTTTTTGGTGCAATTTCAGCTTTGGAAAGTACAGTGGAGTCCGATCGCAATCCATCCATTGAGCTAAATGTCGCCGGCTGAAGAACAGACTCTACTTCTAATCGCAGGCCACCATTCTATCAAGAAAAGGGTCATTTATGTTGCGAAGAATAGAATAGAATAGGAGCAGACGGCACTTTAAAACGTCGACTTTTTATTATTATTGTTTAAATCGTGTGGCACTCATTTGTCGGGTTTTTTTGCCTTTCCTAAGCAATTAAAATAAATGGAAATTATTCCTGTGTTTACGCCAAACTGTTCTGCGAGCTCTCGAACACTTGTTCGCGTGTTTGCTCCCACTAGTGCTTTCAATTCGTATTCGTCAAGTCCATACAGACGTCGGCGGTCTTTCTTATCTTCGGGGATAAAACTACCAGATCGAATTCCCGGAATCATGTTCGCACTGTTGATTCACTCATAATACGTTTACCCCAAACTTCATTACTGTTTCGAGGGGTCTCTGCTGCACTACGACCGAGTTTGAACTCATAAATGAAAATTTGACGAAAATTCGTTTCTCACATCTAAAACTTCAAAACTTAAAACCGGTAAAAAAGCTCAACTTTTGACAAAATATAAAACAATATTTTATTTGTAAAAAATAAAATATTAAATCGGTGAATCTTTTAAAATGCTCATTGATTTCTAAACAACCTAATACATCGATAAGCCTCGCTCGCAAGTCACTACGTTGCGCAAATATAGACGGACTATTTGTGTCCACTACATGCTGCCTGCCTAATGGCCACATTATCCTTTGCTTTTCATCGAATTACTTCGGCAACCTCCCCAAACCTGCAAGCGCCTCAACATACTTTCGGAATGAAGAAGTTATATTTGTTACAAGTGACAAACACTACCTATTCACTATGTAGTCACTCTCTGTTTACTGCCTAATCTTTTTTTTTCATAGTAGGGTATGCTGGCACGGATCTCTCATATGAGGGGTCTCGAGCCTGCTAGTCGCGACGCTACTTGGCGCGTCCCCAGGTGGCGGATAGGGAGTTAATCGCGAAACAAAATCGACCTTTGCTTCCCTGAGACGCAGATGAATCCAGGGGATACACTCCCAGTTTCTGCTGCATCGATTTGGCACATTCTTTCCGTATTTGCTAGGCGAATTCATGCATGCGTGTGTGGGTGCGTTCTTGCTTGTGCAGATTGCATTCTACGAGTGGATTCGGCCAAAAACCAGCAATCAAGTGGCAGGGAAGCATATGGGAGGCGGTTAGCAGTCGCCTCCAACAAATAAGCTCCATGTCCACTCAGGGAAAGCCTGGCAAGCTACCCGTGAGTACGCCCAGCCCCATGTTCAGAGCCCAGCATACTATACGTGGGTATCAAAAAAATGCTCAACACAGTAAAAAGAACGGGCCTCATTCCCCTGAGCTCGAAAGAGCCCCCAATTTTGCAGCGTTGGGTGGGACGAGTACGGAGAGGCTGCTAAAATATCAGAGCCAATGGAAGCTGCCTGGGTTTCAAAGAACTATGGTGACGATCTGTCCTACAGTGCACGTACACTTGCATCCGAGTCCTCGATAGAAAACTTGCCCATCTAAGCAAGAAGGATAAGGTATGACGTCATCGCCTAGGCCGAGATGAGAAGCCGCCAGCCTTTCAACGCCGTATATGACACCGGAGAAGAACTGTTCCTCGGAAGATGCGATAGGATTCTCGTCAACACGAGTTTGTCCATAAACGTCGATTCGTTCGAACAACGTACAACCCGAATCGGGCGTTTACGATTAAAAAGACGTGGATAAATTCCGGCTTTGACAGTCTTCGTCGTTTACGCGCCAACATCAAACTATGACGTAGAAGAAGTCGAAGCGTTCTATATGGACTTAGCGAAGTTCTACAGAGAAGACCATACACTAATCGAGGTCATCATCGGAGACTTTAATGATAAGATTGGACCCAGAAAAACTCCTGAAGAACGTCACATTGAGACCCATAGATTAGAATGGAACGAACAGGGTGAGCGGCTGTCGGAGTTTACCACTAACGTCCGAACTTGCAAAACAATGCAGCAGGCGATAAAAGAGGATCTTAAAGGGAGAAGAGCAGCAGTAATGGTCGAAGCTGCAGAGGCTGGGAAAAGCAATCGCAAAGCCCACCGAAGCTTCGCCAATTACAAGACCAAATTGATTGCACTCCTGCGCCCAGACGGAACAGTTACAGCGTCCGGAATGGCAATGGAGAAAATCATTCACGAATACTACCCAGATCTCTTCGATAGCCACGTCCACCTTCCGTCATATGAAATAAAGGAGGATGGATATGTTGTACCATTTGTTCTCCTTTCCGAAATCCGACAAGCCATTTCGTCGGTGAAAAATCGAACAGCACCAGGTCCGGACAAGAAAAGACCAGAACACCTGAAGAACCTTCCGCCAGTCCTCGTAAACACAGTGGGTCGACTTTTAACACGTTACTTGTCTGAATGCAAAGTTCCTTCTCGGTGGAAGACCAGAAAGATCGAAATATTTGCGAAATTTTGAACCGCATTTGTCTGCGATGGCGGTCGAACCCGCTTTTACCCTTTTCTGGGGCTCACAGAAAGAGGA